TAGCCATCTCAAACAGACGTTTCGCAAACTCTCGAGGTAGTTGAATGCGCGAGAACGAACATCTGGGGATGATGCCAGGCTCAATACTCGCCGGGCAAGTAGAGAAAATGTTGCGGCAGCCCGCCACGACTCCCAGTTCTCTCGGATACGATCTAGGTTGGTCTCAAGCTGCTCAAGCATAGCATGGCCAAAGGACGATTCTCTAAGGATAGAGTGGCTGGAACGTTCGATACTCTGGTCTGACGGGCCAGTCTGCTGTGCAGTCTGAAGAACGATGCATTGCGTCTCAACTTTCGTCCAGTCAATCGAAGGAATTGCTAGCTGAGCAAGGATGTTTGAATAGATTATGTTGTGCCCAAGAGATAGCGCACCCAGGGCCTTGTATTCGTCGATCGAGAAATGACCGGGGCAGTCGAACAAGCTGGCAATGACTTCATTTGGCGACAGACCATCAGGTGAAGAAGGTGGTCGATACATGAATCGTTCAAGAGCCTTAGATTGCTTCGGCATCGGGTATTTACACTTCTTCGGGACTTCCGATGTGCAACCTGGCATGCTCGTGTTGACGGTATGGGTCGAAGTGTCATAGTAGGCGTATTTTAATGCATTTTGCAAGCACACGTCGTCATCAGCCAGGTGAGGAATAGCTTTCTTCTGCTTCCTGTGGGTGACGGTGTGGCTCTTGATGTCCGAAAGCGGCACGATTCGTCGCTCAGAATACCGAGGAGATAGTAGATGGGACAGACCGTGGTGATTGTCAAGCGTGTAGAAGTGTGATGGTTGAAATGACGTCGCAGCCTTGTATCCGAGGACCATAGTGATGATGAATGCCGAGGCATCGCGCCAGTTGCTGTAGGGTTTCGGCACTACTAACTCAAACACTGTAGCTTTCGCTACAGGTACATGGGCTGAGACCGGCCATTCGAAGATTCCAATGGTAAGTTTGTCTGCGCAGCGTTTTGCTGCACATCTGCTGCAGCTATTCGAGTGTTCCTGACGTGTGTAGCCAAATTTCCGGTTGTAGACCACTGTCTGGTTTTCACATGGAGTGCTGTTGTAACGGTCCATGTACTGTTGATGCTTACGTTTGAGCCTTGCGAGCTCCTCACACTTCTCCTGACGTTTGGCCGCCGCATCAGCTTCGATTCTCGACAACATCGTCTGGAGGTACTCTTGTTGATCGAAGTACCTTACAGCGAACGAAGACGAGTGTCCAAAATCTCGGTAGACAGAGGGCCTCTTCAAAGCTGTAGTACGTCGCGACTGTACGTAGCACTCTGCAACGTTCAGACGATCCAGTTGGTTCTTCAGAGGTAGCGTGAGGGATTGAAACTCCTTTAGATCAACCTCAGGATCGTACTCTGACAACAGAGGATAGATCGTGCAGGCAATCTTATCGCACGCGATCCAAAGCTCAGTGAGCGTCAGATACATGATGGACATACCGATAGGCGCTCCAGCATAGGCACTGCTAGCGATCTGATAGTACCCGGTCATGATTGTACGCAGTCTTCCACAAGCATCTTCATCACGAAGATGAGATCTGGTCCAGTTGGTAAGATGGTACTCAACCCACGTCTCGACAGCAGTCAAGCGAAAGTATTTGTCTTCGTTTGAATAGGCGGATTTGACGCTATCCGGTAGCTGAGTGGCTTCGTAAGACGGATACTTTGAGGTAGGCGTGAACGTAGATAGTGAGACTTCTCGCTGCCGGGCTTGGATGCTTGACAAGAAGACGTCCAAGCCTGACAGTTCTATGTCAACATCGGCTTTAGGCTTGAGCTTTGCGATAGTGCTGAAGTTTATGTTGCCTTGAGGGTTGCCTATCTGAGCCTTCCAGTTTTCTTCGATGAGTGTGTGGGCGCTGTTCATCCTGTCCTGAATGTGCTGCATCCAGCCCGGCTGCAGGTACTCTGTCTGCTTGAGAAGCTCGAACTTGCGCAATCGCCGCGTCAACTTGGCTAGGACGAGCTGAATAGTTTCACTGCCCGTGTCTTTCATGTTTTGCTTAGCCAGGTCGAGTAATCGTGCTGCCATGAAAATCATGAAGGCTTTATAGAGGCCATCCACATGGAGGGCTTCAGGCGCCGAGCGAGCGAAGAGTAGCTGGAGTGATACTCGTAGCAGGAGCCACAATGGAGATCGTCGCCATGGTGATAGGCATTTGCTCCAGAGAACCTCCTCGCGGGTATGCTTCGTGATGCGCTGTACGTCCGTCGACTCGCCGAGAGCAGTGATGATATTCATGAGGAAGTCTGTAACCATACCTGGATGGGTTGTGTCGCGCTCTTCGCTCATCGTCTTGTTGTTCTTTCTAACCTGAGGTTGGAAGCCTGGAGCCGTCTGAGTCGTCATCGTAGCTATAGTCCTGGAGATCGATTCGACAAGATCAGGGTTGGTGTTTACAGTCGGTATCTTCGAAGCGTAGCCTGGAAACTCTCGCACAAGTCGCCCTCGAGACATGGCCGCCGCATTCGTTGGCGATAGCTCAAAGAACTCAAAGTTCAAGCTGTTCGAAGAATGGCTGACCAGAATTCCGGCATTCTGTTCTTTGATCTCGAGCGGTACGGCGCCAGCAGTATCGTTTGCAACCTTGGTGAGAACTTCTCGTACTTGGAGTTCGCTATTATTGCCGTGATGGTCGCGACAGGTTCGGAGGTTCTCGACTGTTGCAATAGCAGCCGTGATAGACCCGACGTGTTCGTGTTTGACGTGGTGCCTCAGAGATTCGAGTGCCTGAATGACAATTTTGAGCAGAGCCAGTTCGTGCTCGGTGTTACGGTCATCTTGTTGCGGTAGCTTCGGTGGAAGTACAACATGATGAATGGCGTAGGATGTAGCCATCGCCGATATCATGGTGTAGAGGTCCTTCTTGAGCAAGTTCTGTGGCAGAACAGTTAGCGTACACGGTCTTGCTGTACACAAACCAAGACTATGGCACATTCAGTGCTCATCGTACTTATGTGGAGGATATATCAGAAAGTGGAGATCACGTACCGTACGATACCAGCTATTCTGAGCCTCTATCGAGGATACTGATGACTATCAATGTAGTCGTCTTGATAGCAAAGATAGTGGCGCAACGAGCGCAACCAACGTGATGTGCAAAAGATGTGTTGCCAAGGCGAGTACAAGGAGAGAAGAAGATAAAGCCAGCGGATGAAAACTTTGCAGGTAGTAAGACTATGTGTGTGTGTGTGTGTGTGTGTGTGTGTGTGTGTGTGTGGAAGAGTAGAAATTTGGTTCTGCACGTTGTGGTCATATAAGAAAGGCAAACAGACCTGTTCATCCTCACCTTCACTTGGAGCACTATGCGACGATTGTCCACCGCCTCATCACCTCGCCGCAACCTGTGGCTCACAGGCTGCAACTCAACAAGGCTGAGCATGTCACGATGCCCAAGCCACAGATGAATGTGTGCTCAAATTCATGCGATCCAAGACTCCACGTCGTTCCGGTAACTTCATGTCGAACCGATTGGCCGTGTGGCGCGCGCGTAGCATAAGGCCAGGATGTGCAAGGCAACAGCTCCAGATTGATTCAGCTCGGGATTTGGTTTCTCGCAGGCTTCCGTCATTCCTTATCTGTGGCACAGTCGACCATCCTTCTCTTGTGGGTCAACAATACCTGAGAGACACATGCGTTCGCAAGGCTGCGACGCTACGGATCGCGAAGCCGCCGGGGCGCTCGAGGCAAGGCAGTCACCATCTACGCGTAACAGCATATCGTATGATCTTTGTAATGGGCTGTAGTTCGACATCGCAAAGATGGATGTTTGACGCGAAGAGCGAACTGGCGCTGTGAAGTCGGAAGTACCTAGGTAGTACCCTTGGGTGGAAGGGCGTCATTGGATATGCGCTAACCATTTCTGCCCAGATTTCCCATAACCGCTAGCTGTGTATCTCCTATCCTTCTAGGTAGTATTCGCGCTCAAATTCTCATTGGAAAACATGCCTTTCGCATTCCGTGTTGAGCTAAACATTGCGAACGTTGTCTCATCATAATCCCAGTCATTTAGAGTTAGGGAGTAACTGTCTATGCAGGTGGTCCTGTGCAAGCGAAGTGCATTCGTCCTTCATCCCAATAAAACCCGCGACATGTATATAGTTGAACCCTAAGCCAGCCTCTGAACATGGTCGCAATAGCTTTCTTCTAGCCTCGTCTTTATAGCATGTCATGCTACTGACGAACATTCTTTTTCTCTCTAATTTCTACCCCCACTAAAATGTATTTTAAAGGAATTCCCAGATTTCTCTATTTTTGCTTTGATCGAAAAGTAACATTGTCTGCCCCCTTAGGGGAGGCATCTGTAGGATAGAGAACTTGGTGAAAACGAGTTCCTTCGTGGCCGCGAACGCGGGCAGCACATCTGTTCTACAGCCGTCTGATCCAAACCATTGTATCACATGACTTGCAAGCACCCCTTCCCTAGACCCTACCGCCATGCCCCCCCAACAACGCAGCAAGATCCAACAGAAATCAAATCTCGATCCCGATTCAATGACTTTCGCACTCGCGGGACCCAACAAACAAAGACTAAGCATCCAAGCCGTTCGCGCACATGCCAAGGTACGAGTCAAAAGCGGACTGCTAGATGACATCATCGGAACGACCGAACCGCGGATGTCCGGGAGTTCCGGTGCCGGCCAGCCAGCTCAACGCGTGGCCCAGTGATCTAGCAGGGAATAATCACCGGTGATAATACGATGTTTGAAGATACGAGTTGAGAGGGAGTATGATGATTAGGATTCGTGATTGTGATGAGTGTTGCGTTGGGATCTATAGAACGCGTGGTGTGACGGATTCGTCAAATCTCGTTTTCTTCGTGACACCGAACATCCCAATCTCCATGCGATCCTACATGAGGTTATGCAGTACAGAAAAGACACCAAGTCCTAAACGCCCCTATGCCCGGTGCGGTATCCAACGTTGTCCCGAAGCTCAAGCAATGGCTCTTCGGTGCTGGATCCCCACAATTCATTAATTGTCCTTTACATGTATCACCGCGCCTCCACGGGCGCCTCCGTTGACGGCTTTGGCATAGGCTTGAGCTCTGAGCCTGCCCCGCTCTCAGCCCTCTTCCGGCCTGTCAAAGAGAAGTGATGGCTCGAGCCGGGTCGCTCTTCAGTCTTCTCATTGGCATGGTTGTTGTCGCCGAAGCGCGAGAAGATGCTGCGCTTCTTCGGCTGGGGCTTCGGCTCGTCGTTCAGGCCCACGTCTTCAAAACCCTCCTCAGGCACTTGCTCGTGGCTTTCACTATGGCGGGGTTGTTGCATTGACGAGCGGGGTGTGGCGCGCGAACGGCGGACATCGAGAGAGCGTCTAGTGTCTACGGAGCGGCGCGCATCGAGCGACTGACGAGGGTAGGTTTCGTGGACATTGTCTGTTATTGGGGAGCGCGCAGAGATATCCTGTGTCTCGTTAACGGGGTCTTGTTTGCCACTGATCGCAATACGTACAAACGACCTCCTGTACGAGTCGAAGCTCTCGCGCGAAATGCTAAACGGCTCGGTTTCGCTGAGCAGACTTCGGTGATTTGAGGAAGTGGTGGAGACGTTGGACTTGGAGTGCCAGAAGGTAGGCTTCTCGTGCTGTGGGGATGGCTGTCGCAACGTCAACCAAGGTCTCACAGCGTGCCATTTGCGCGTGTCGCTCTACATGCACCGTCACACTGGCTTGACATTTCTTACCGGTAGGTAGACGCCGCTATCGTTTATTTCTATCACATTGTAAGCGCCCATTCATCCGATGCGCTGATGCAGCCGCGGGAGCATGTTTTGACAGGAACATGCTTGTGCTCAGGTGCATTTTGGGAAATCTCACCACTCAATTTGTATTCTACAGGGTCCTTGACCTGCAGGGGCGTTGCGCCCGAGACAGCTGTGCTCTTGAAACCGTTCTCCGGCGCGCTCCGCTGGGCCTCATCGGCGGCCTCAGGCACACCCGCGCGGCGAAAGGGATTGCGAATAGGCATGGTAATAGGACACTAAGAGTCAAACAAGGCGGTACGAGAACAGAGTGGAGTGTTTCAGTAGGCTGGTGTAAGATGGACGCAGTGAGCAAAGAGGAACTGCTGGATCGGGTCTAACAATCATGACTTCCTCGACCAACCAATCGGGCAGTAACCAAAGAACTAGCCGGTGCCCACGTTGCCCGATCAATCTTCTCGTGCGAGAGCAGGGCAGAACGAAAGACGTCATGTCGCAGACGTATCCAGACTTGATTGACCGTTCTAAGCAGGACTGATTCTTCCTTGCGGCATGTCGAACGCTGAGCGGGTGCTGGGGTGCAGATCAAACAGGTCCAGAAGAAGGCCTTTCGGTGAACCCTGCATATGCCTCCAGGAACCAAATCCCTATGTAAGCGGAGCTTCAGCTCACCACCGTCGCGCCTCAAAACAGCTTGTTTGTACCTCACACAACTCGACCTGCATTGTCGCGACTAGAGAACTGTTGATCGGCTGGGCTTTCTTCGTCTGCGCTGGCTGCGCGCTCGCGCTATAATACCTAGTATTAGCCTGAGATGCGATGTCGGTAATGATCTCGGGAAGCAATCTGAATCGTGTTACTACTGTACGGGAAGGATTGCGCCTCATATTCGAAACATTCAAGGATGTCTGGGGGTTCCCATCGCTAAATCAGCACTGCGACGAAACATGAGCTGCGGTAAAGACGTTTCTCTGCCTCAGTAGTGATGCCCCCACAATCTGGAGATCGCACAGGCCGAGACTGGTAGAGATGCAGCAACTCCACTTCTGTCAAACGAGCCCCTCCTTTGCCCGATTAGTGACAAGGGTATCTCTGTGCGGAATCTGAGGCTGTGTCCAGGTAAGCATGGTTGGCAACGGTCGAGCTTCCCGACCGAAGTTACATGAGATATTTTGAGTATAGACACCGCAGGCGATCCATGTTATGCGCGGGGTAGTCATGAAGCCTCGAGACGGACCTACCACGGTGAGTAGGGCCTGATTTGCGTTCAATCTCCCTGGTAACACTCTGTGTGTTTTGTGATGCCGTTTGCCTACTACAGTTCTACTAGTAGCTGCATAGAAAGAAGAAAATCAGCTTACATGAACCACTCTTTGGGTGCAGTAGTCCGCAACGCGGGGTCGAAAGACAAATCTAATGGTAGCCGGGCCAACTGACTGGCCTTCAGCGAGGTGTAAGAATTGTAGTCTGCGTGTCGCAATTTCTTACGCCTTTTGTTCAACAGGATCGCACTAGACGTGGACAAGCAATGACAGCTGCAAGATGGTCAGTGACCCAGTAGACTGAGTTGTCTACATGCCCGAGATAGGGCTGTCTCTACGAGGCTGGACTGCTGCAAAGCTTCCACGCATGCAGCTGTGAGTGTCCCCGCACATGATGCATGAAGAGGTGCAGAGGTGCATGCAGCCGTGAATGTCAAATGCCAATCGATTGGCAGTCCCCGCTGCGAACTAGTCGTAGCCCGAAACTCATTCACTTGTGCTGGTCTGGTGAAGAGCATCCCAATCTTATACGATGATGCGCGTTTAATCTGCCCGAAAACTGGAAAGCGCCGACGCATAATTCGAAGTTTTCCGATCATGCCATGGCATGGGTACGAGAAGATGTGCGGATACGAGCACTAGGACGAGTCAATAATTTCTGCTTACCTTGCAGGACTAACTCGCCTTGTCCATCCTTGGCCCAGGCTGGAGCCCGAGACCGAATCAACATCATCATCTCGTCACGTTCTAGGAGCAATCCGGTTATCCAGGTGAAGGCGAAGTGGCTTCCGAAGTTACTCCAAACGGATCGCGATACTGCTGTGGCTGGTGGGGTCTGCAAGCCGCCTATGGTCGCAGCAACTGGTTCAAAATTAAGCCGGCCTCAACTGAGATGGTCTAATTGTTTACACATTTACCATGGCAAGAGCTTTAGTTGGGTAATTGGTATGCATTGTATGGTGCTTTTTTGGCTCTGGTATGAGAAAAGAACATCTGGTATGATTAATGATGGTACGGGTAAGGGTGCATGTTAGTGCGCGCTCGGAAGTGGTAGGAGATTCCACCCACGTGCAGGCAATCGATAGCCCGGCTAGGCTGGACTCGGGGGATGCACTACCGACACGGTGGCGAGGTACGAGATGTTCCAAATCGGTAGGCGGAAGAGAAGGCCTTGAGACGAGAAGCGGTGTGTGCTGGGAGTAGCCGTTACACAGATGCGGTGCGCTGTGGCATCAATATCGCTCACCCCATGTTGCGCGCTCCGCTCAAGGGCAGAAGCAAGGACAGGCCCCCGCTCCCATCGAATCTTGGAAGGCCTGTGCCTGGGCATTCCATCATGGTGGAGCAACGTGCAAAACCCATCGCTGTGGTGGAGCCCTTGCGGAAAATGAACCTTGAAGAGTGGCATGTGGCACCAAATGGCGTAGGGCCTTAGGTAAGAAAGACGAAACAGCGCCTCAACGAACTACAGACGGCACGTCGACGCCGTGAGCCTGCCCCGAAATTGGACGCCTATTCACAATCTGTGGAGAAGAAGCGCTTTCAAGAAGGGCGCTATTGAGTGGTGCTGGCCTTTGTGACGGCCTCGTGTCTCGAAACCTGAGCACAGCAGAGCCTGAGTAAGACGCTTTCGCGTGCTATATCAAGTCGAAGACGCAATAATCAACGTGAGAAGAATCACGACGTGTTCTGATAACTCGAAACACAACAATGTCGGAAGAGGTTCCCTTCGGGGCGATTCGTCACTGGCGCCATCCACTCAGAGGCGGCCATGGCTGCCCCTGCCGAGAGGTGAGAAAAGCCACGTCCCCGCCCGGGGGGCGCCTTCCTTGTTAGCCTACCAGCATGGCTCGAACCAGCGGCTGTAGAAAACGACTGCAACATGCTCGATACTCGTCGTCCCCAGGCCAGCGGCGCCTGAGACGGCGTCGACAAGTCACACTGCAGACCCCGACGGCCCCAAACGTATGCGGCGTCGAGCCTCCCGACAAGCTCGCGTTGATTATTGGGCTCTGCCGCAGGTGCTCGTATAGCTTGCCGATCCAACGCTCCAAACACTCGCGCATCGTCGCTTACTATTTTGAGTATGCACCTGCCGTCCGCCTCTAGCCACCCATGACGCCCGCGCATGGGTGGCTCCTGGTCAACGCTTCCCAGCAAGCCGCCCAGTAGCATGGATGCCTTGCGTGGTCTGTTCTTGGGAGCACCAACTTTTCCCTCCTCATCGCACCGTAGGCCCGTTGTTTTCGTGGGTCCGTGACGGCGATCGACCGACGACCCAAGCCGCTGCATGCAATAATATAACTCGTCTCCCCATGCCCTCTTTGCGCTCGCTGTGCCCTACTCCCAGACAAGCAAGCCACACTGGACCGCCTGTGACTGACTCTTCACCACCTTGCGTGTATGACCAAACGTCTGCTTCACTAGTGACACCCGTCCCTATCGACGTTCCACACTCGCTTCAAAACCCCCGCCATTTCACGCCTGAGACCTCTGTCCGACCCTTTCGCTCGCTCACCTCTCCGTCTTTGTCACGGGATCTGTACCCTATCGATACCAATCTAATCAGGAACATTCCATTCGCCGTTTCCTTGTCCCATCTGCACCTTCCTCCTTGACCGGCTACCTGACGTCCTTACATCCCAACCAGGCGTCGCCCCGCCTGTTATTCTTACCTGGATCTAAACCTCGTCTCACTCCATCGCAAACATGGGCTTCGGATCATCCGACGGCAATGAGTTCTTCCAGAGCTGGGCCTTGTGGCAGAAGATGACTTTCGTAAGAAGTCCCATTGGCTGCTGATAACGTCCCTGCTAACGCTGCCCAGGTACTGGCTTGCGCAATTGTCCTCACCATCTTTCTTGGCCTGCTCAAACTATGGTATGACAAGAACAAGGTCCGCAAGTACAGCAAGGTCGAGAAGGGCAAACGCGCGGCGACTCCCGAGATGCTCGAGGCGCAGCCAGTAACCCATGTCCAAGAAGAGACCAAGGATGAGATTCCCTTTGGTATTCGCGCCATTCAAAGCGGTATCGAGGTTGACGGTGTCTGGATCTCTCGCACCAACACTCCTGTTGGCAGTAGCCGTGCTTCCATCATGAGCGAACAGCTGCCCCGTAGCTTCAACAACTCTCAGCTCGAGTTGCCCCAGCCAGTTGCCCAGGGTTCCAGCCGCAACAGCTCTCGTGCCCCAAGCTCCTTTGACCGCGCCGTTTCCGCTGAGCCTCTCCCAAGCCATGACTCCCGCGCCTCCTCCCCTGGCCGTGGACACAACCACGAAGGTCCCCGCTGCAGCAACTGCAACCACCACGTCTCCCGCAACACTGCTACCCTCAACGCCTTGGAATCTCCCGCTTCTACTCGCAACTCTGCTGCTCCTTCTCGTAAGTGTAGACTTGCGCACTTGATTGAGACATACTAACATCTCACAGCTCCCCTCAACGCCAAACACGGCCAGTCTTCAAGCTCCTCAAGCAAACGCTCCAGCGATGAGTCCGACTACATGCAAATGGGTCAAGATGTCCGCGCATACGAGACTGCATACTTCAGGCCCAACCAACCCATTGACCCCAAGACCGACCTCGAACTCCTTCGCAGCCACCGTCTTTCCCACGTCGCTGAAACTGGACAGCTCACTCCCAGAGTGCGCAAGCCAGGTAATAGCGGAGAGTGGGCCAGCGTGGCGGACAACCAAGTTTCTTCGGTCAACGGTGTTAACTATTTCATGCCCCAGAAGTCACCCTCTCCTCCGCTAGCCACTGTTGCCGACCAGTACGAAGACGTTGCTCTATCAGCCTCTGCAGGTCCCAGTCACGACGGCAGCGCAGCGAACCAGGCTAGGCAGGCAGTTCCCTTGACCGAGTCTTACGCACCTGGCGCGCCATACTACCCAGACACCTACGAACCTCGTGGCCCTCAACACCAGTACAGCTACGATCAAGTGCCGTACGAGGTGAACACGGAGCAGAACCAGGATCGCGATGACCATGTCTTGCGCAGCGTCAACTCTGGCTTCCAAGTCCTAAAGCCAGGCACCTTCCAGCCGCCCACACCCGAGGAGGTTGACCTTGCTGAGCGGAGAACTTCCAAGAAGCTCCAGAAGAAGAGGAGAACATCCGGTGACTCGCGCAAGTCAGCATTCACCGAACAGGTCTAATTCTTCATCGCGATAACTTCACCACGGCATTTATCCTTATCGCCTTTTCCTCGCGTCCACGCCGTCACCTGTTCTCCCATCACAACCACGTGCTGGCACCAACAACTGCATTGAAAGTTTTACAGCGTTTAATTTTGTATCATCTGGCAATCTTTGGGGCTTCTTTTGGGCAGCATGACACTGGGCACTTTGCATGTATGTTTTGGAGCATGGACAGACCCACGTACTGTTGTTTTTTCATAATTACTCTCTCCGCCGCAACAGGTTGCTTGGCACCAGGAATGCGAGCGGCGTTGTAGTAAATCATCATAATCGGGCGTTATAGACACAAAAATGGGCACACCTAACGATCACCACGTAGCATGAGTACCGGGGATTACTGGCTCATTGCATAGCATATAGTACAATCATGAACTTTTATCCGCATCGCATTCCCTGTCTGTTCACTTTCGTGCCGCTTCTCATTCATAGTTCCGGTCTAACCATTGACAATAGCTTTGTGCAATGAGCTTGACTTGGTACTCGCTCCAATCTACTCATTACAGACTACGGCTATAGTACTTTCCGTCAAACCTCACGACAACGAGAAGCGGGACGAAGGATTAGAGTTCTTACCCCCTGGACGCCCACAGGTCGTGGCTTTAATCTGACGAACACGAAAGCCAAGCCGTAGTTGCCGTCCGTCAGCAAATTGCCACCAACTGCAGTGCTGACACTGAGAAAGACAGCCACGCCCAGCGTCACAACTCTTTGATTGGACAGATGTCCGGCATATGCAAGAGTAGGTTGGAGAAACAGAAAAACCAAGTGTTTCTTACATGTACTGTGCAGTAAGGCTGTCTTGCGCTAAGCTACCTAGGTTAATATACAGTAGTACACGTACGCCACGGGGACAGGCGGGTTGTGCAGCCGGCGGAAGCTTAGAAAGGTTCGGGTTAGGTAAGTATTCAGCCTTGAATGTCGACATTGCCAACTATTGCATGGTAGCTTTGACCGCTAGAGATGAACACATGTTTGCTTTTCGTGCGCTCAGCTAGGGACAGAAACAGGAGGGTTTGAAGACAGGAGGAGATCACACATCATATCCAATCACACCATGACCGATTTAGGGGTGGTGAGCTGGAATGTATGACATGTTTTAAGAGCCGGTCCAGTTAAGAAAGGACTACGCTCCACGCACCCGCTCGCCCACTTGCTCTCAAGGCAAGCTCAACTGCAATAGGGAAATGGGATGGAAGAAAACCCGGTTCCTGGACCGGCAAACTCGGCTTATAGTTACTGGTTCAACTACCGTGCCGTACTAGCCAGTTGCCGCTACCGAGCCGTGTCCCTGTTCCCTTGATTCCTTTCTCTCCTTCTTTTCTTCGCGTTAGGCGTGCTGCGTGCATTTTTTTCCTGTGGCTTGTTGAGGCTTGGTGTACATATTGCTTATGTGCCTCCAAGCGCACACTCATTGGTCAAGACCATGCGTTTGGCGAGTGCTTTTAGTCTCGCAGGCTTTGATGAGAGAAATTGAGGGTTGAGTTGCGCAATTTGACACGATATGAGTTAGAAAGCATAGACTGTAGAAGAGGCTGCGAAAGACAAAGTCAAGTGATGTTGAGCTGGCGTATAGTATAGGCAATTCTGCTAAGAGCTAGAACAACTGGGGTCATGCTCGTCGATTGTAGGCAAACAGCCTGGTGCTTGCATAGCAAAATCACGTCTTACATGCTTGTCGACGGGCGAAGACTGGGGTGTTCATCGCCAAGACCTCGGCTTCCTTTGACCAAGGTCGTCACTTCCGCCTTCTCACATTCCAGAACGTCTTTTCCATTTTTTTTGCTCACAGGCAGCTGCACTCGTTCACCGGTCACGTCACGCCTTGCATACATGTCTCCATAGCTCAACTACTCGCCGCGCGCTACCAGAATTCCAATGCCGAATATAGACCATCAAGCCGTGTGGCTTGCATAAATGGCCGCGGGTGGCTTTTTGACGTTGTTCGCAATCGATAGGTGCGTGTAGCGAGAGGCGGGGTCGAGCGGCTGTCTGCCCGATAACCTGATTTGCAAGAGGAGGGTCCTGAGAAGCCTCACCGTCATTCACGACAACGGTGTTGGCTTGTCTTGGCTTATTGATTCGCTGCACATTGCTTATGACGATGGGTGGAGATAGAGGTTAGTTTGACTTCAAGACCCAAGAGAGAGGCGGAGGCTTGGTGATGTGCTGGCCTTTAGGCGAGATGTCCAGGGAAGGAGACCATGGGTACTGGTCCTCACAGGTGCAAAGGACCTCGATCTGTAACCCATCACTGGAGTACGAAATCGGTATCTGATGCATTGGTGCAGGACCTGTGTACTCCAATCAATGTGACATCTCGACAGATGATCCTAGGTTGTAATCAGTACGGCTTACCATACACCGGGTCTTTGTTCCTTGATCTTCCCAGCTATACGTCCGGCGTCTACATTGCCCTGTTTGAGACCTGTCGATCAAGCATTGCAGATCTATAGACTGCCTTCTAGACGCGATCGTCCTTCGTTCGTACCGAGTACGACACTTTTGAGTCTGACGGGCGAAAGCGGGTCCGTCAGCCTTGCAGGCACACGCATATTGAGTAAGAGTGAGATTTCCCACGAATCTTGTGAGACGGCTCCGGTATGCAACATGAAGGGACAGAACACTGCATTCAGTGGTGGCAAATATCAAGGCAAGCTTAAGAGCTGACCCAGTGGAAAGGTGGGGAAGATTGAAGGACGACGGGCTGAGATGCACAGCCACTTGAGGCTTGCATGACTGACGGTGTGGACGGTCCGCTCCGATTCTAGAGCGTTTGTTGGCCACTTATTGGATGTCGAATGTAGTGTAGAGATTGAAGAAAAGGCAACCATGAAGGGCCATCACTTGCAAGATTTGGTGGAGAGCATGCATGAGACAACATTCACACAGCTTAACGCCACACTGCATCCCATTTGCATGCATACCAATTACAACGATGTGCTTCAATATGAAGCGGCTGTGGATCTGATCAATGCAGCGACTACTTCGCAGCAGCAGGACTGTAGGGCCATCCCTCAAGCCCAACCGTCATCATCGAACTCCCCTTGATTTTGTCCTGGCGCGCTTCCAACTCCTCCACATCCCAGTTCGCCCAAACCATCTTACCGCTCAGGAACTTAGTCTTTGGCTGCGATAGCCAAACAAGAAAGTTCGCGCTTAGATCCACTGTGCGACAAATCAGTACACTTCTTTACTAGTTCTTGTTACCACTCACCAGAGTCCATAGGTAGCTGTGACGGATCCGCGCCAGAGCCTCGGAAGATACCTGTATCCACCATTCCAGGATGTACGGCGCATGCAAAGAGATCTGGGTTCTCAGCGGCAAGAAACTCGACGATCTTTGTCTGCGCGGTCTTTGATACGAGGTAACCCGATAGTCCGGGTGTGTATGCTGGCGGCAGAGCAGCTGCGCCAGCAGCGAGCGTATACAAAGCAGCACCAGGCTTTGCACTTGGGATGAAAGCTTGTGAAGCGATTATGATGGATTTGACATTCGTCTCATAGTCCGCCCACCAATCTTGCAGAGAAGCCTCGACGATCTTGGACGGCGAGGAAATGTGTGCTGCGGCAAGAACGAGGACATCCCAGGCGCCGACCTGTTTAGCGATGTCATGCATCGCAGTCTCATCAGTCGCTGAGACAGGGTAGACTGCACATTCTGATTTACTCCCTGCGAGAAGCTTTTTGGTCTCTTCGAGGGTCGATTCGGTGCGTCCAATTAGGATCAGGCGTGCTGCGTCTGCTTTCGCGAAAGCTAGAGCTGTAGCACGGCCTATGCCGCTGCCGGCTCCTGTGATGATTACTGTCTTCCCTGCTTGGCTGAGGCCTGCATTCGATGGGTTGATAGCATCATAAGATTCGTTATGCCAGGTGGCCGTTGGTGATGGAAATGGAGGTTGCATGACCGCAGAGTATAGAGTGATCAAGATGGAATCAGGAAGGACACCAATTCAGGGAAGCCCATAGCACTATAAGTGAGTAAGTGGGTCAGGGCGGAATGTGGCATGATGACTGAACGTTGCTGGAATTCAGTATGTATCCCCACATCCGTTCGTACGTGCTGACCGGCAAAGGTACTGGATGTGATAACGCATTGAGAAGGCAGAGTGGGTAATAAGCGCTAGTACCGAACAGCCGAAGCGCTGACCTTGGTAGGCCTGATCTTGAGTAGTTCACACTTCGCCCACTCTTGCCTTTGTATATGCTATTTGTACAGTTGGATATCGAAACAATAATCTCACAAGGTTGCGGGTAGCTTTTATCCACCTCTCAGAGTCATGATAGTATCCCACCGCTCGTTCACTCTCTGCGTTCTCATTGAGCCTCTGCCATACTCATGTATTTGGTGCTTGGTAGGCAAAATCTGGTGGATGAGTGTCTGGAATCTGGCTCATTCCGATATCTGCACCACCGCCGAGATCCCACCAGTCGGTTTGCCAGTTCCGCGCAACGAAATCGTTTTCTATCGCCCTAAAAAATCCCACAGATTGGAAGTCACCGTCCATATTCGGAGTGTAGTCGGGCATCGATGAGAAGTTTGACATATCGATGTCTGGAAGTTCGCTAGCCATCAGGTTCTGGATTGTATCGAAATTGGTCGGAGGCAGGTCCGTTTCTTGCGCAACATGCTCTCTAGTCTCGATCAACATCGATTCTTTTCGCCTCTCTTCCTGTAGAGATCGTGAAACGCGGTTCAGAGCGTTGATCGTCCTTTCGAATGGGACCAAATCTCGACGTTGTGTACCGCTTTGAGCCATAGCAGCTCCGATGTTCTCAAGGATTTGTATATCACTTTCGCAATCCTCAGGTTTGCTGCAAGCTAGTATGTGCTCGTATAGTGTAAATACGACACAGAAAGGATACAATGTTATGAAACTGACGCCAGGTTAGTGGCTGCATTGAGGAAATACATGGAACGGATAGGGCATTAACGAGCGAAGCTTACTGATCTGTTATGCTCGTGAACTTGATGTTCAGACTGGGCGTATTGTAGAAGTCAAGGATGGTATTTAGGACACGGCGAGCGGCTCGGAGGGCGATGTCCTTTGACCCAGGTCTTGCTTGGTGATGACGTACCAATCTTTGCAACCCGATTATCGTCGCATAAATGTTCACTACGCAAGGTTAGCTGATGGTTGCTCCTCCTTCAAATTCAATATACTGGGTCCACTCACTGATGTGATCTGCGACAAGACAGCGAACTTCTTCTGAAGTATCCGCCGCGTTCATCATTTCATGTAACTTCCACTCGTCCATAAGTGCCTCCATCTGTAAGCAAGTTTCGTCGATTTTCTGGGAGACTGTTTCATCCTGATCCGGTGTTTGGTGACTATCGACGTAGCTGATCATTTCTACAGTCAGGAGTGTGTACCTTATCCATACGGCGCTCATTATGACGTTCAGAGCTGAGGGGTGCATGTTGTCGGAACGAAAGAGTAGTGGTGGCCGAACCTTGTTTGGTACGTACTGCAAGACTGTCGGCTTATCATAGAACAGACGGAAGAAGGTGTCAATAGACAGGATGTACCAGTATGTATAGCGGTCGGTATCTTTCCTGCTTTCTTCTTCGAAGGATTTTGCCGGTATGACATCCAGCTGATCTATCCCGTTTGATTTGACATGCTGGCAGGACTTGCAGTGAAACTTCCATGCTAACTGGTAGTCATGGCAGGTCATCGCTGTCCATGCCGAAAGGGCTGCGGTATGAATGTCCATGCTTGTGTCACTCGGAGATTCGAGCCATGCAGGCACGCTCTCTAATACCTTCATATATGCCTTCTTGATCCGGTCTCCTCCTGGGGCCTCCGTCAACTGTAATCCATAAAACATGGCGTTGTAACTTGACGTTGATATCAGTTAGGTTCGACTCCCATACAGCTTGAGCAGGAGCCACTCACTACAGCACACGCATACTAGGATCCACATTGACGAAAGGAGAGTCAATTATTTCGGGTAACGCGCGAAGTAAGCCGATATCCAAAATGGAGTTCGTGAATGCGTCCGGTACAAGCATTGAGGACATGACGGTGACAAATCCGTCGATACATGATCGTGCCTCTGTTATGGAGATTTTGAAGTCTACACTCAATGCCCCAGTGCGCACCCTCAATTTTCCAAGGTCTTCGATGGCCTCGTTGAGCGCCGACATTGCATTATCGATATTTGACGTTGGTGTCGCGACTGGAGTAGCCTTGTCTTGGAAGCTGCGTCGAGTATCAGTCGCAAGCCGGTAGATCTACAAAGGTTAGCTATTATGATCCGACAGGACTTTGAAGGGCGCTCGTATCCTCTGAGCAGTATCCTTGAATGCTTTTTGGCACACGTTTGCATATGGATGCAGATCATAGATGATTGAGCAGGCAGCAAACATTCTATGGTACGTTCAACTCACTCAAGGCCTAACTCAGCGAACACGAACTCCTTCGGTATCGGTTTCATTACCCATGACTCCTGACCATCAGCCACAGTCAGCGAGGCCTCTGGAGACGGCACGGGTGTGCTCTTTCTTATCGATTCGCGTCTCGGTGCCAGATCTGACACAGATGATGAACGATCATCGGCAGCATCACTGATTTGCTTCTCGAGCATCTCTAGTCGCTGGCTCAGATGCTGGACGACAGCTTTTTGTTGGGCGTGGCGCGGCCTTTGTCGTCGTTCTACATACTGACATTCTTCTTTGGCAGCGATGCATTGGTGGCAAACTGGCTCCGCTTTGTCGCATTTGATCTTTTTACGCTTGCACCGAAGACACTTCAAGGGACATTTAGCAATCTCCGCTCTCCGATCAGTGTAGATGATGGGTACCTACGGCAAGCTTCATCGTCATTTTATGGCTGCAGCGACTTCTTGGACGCACCTCCGGGTTCCGGAAAGGTGTTCGCGCGCGAAAGCGGTCTGGTCGACTAGCGAATCACCAAATGTTCTGCAAAATTGCGCATCGAGAGGAAGACGTAGATGAGGAAAGGGCAAGGAGCCCGCGGACATTCGGGAAAGCGCGGTGTCCGGTTAATTACGTACTGCCGAGAATCACGAACACCACCCATAACACTCGGACCAGGATCGCCAAGTCTGCCGACTGACCTGTGTTGGACATAGTTGCGAAGATATGACCGTTCAGCATCATGGTTCATTCAATAAAAGGAATGTCGACGGACAGTACTTTCGAGCTGTTTCGATATCGCTATCTGATATCTTCCCTTGCCTATACTGGGCCAGCACTGTTCGATCCGCACAAGAACTCCCTACTGTAAGTGCATTCATTCATACATTCATGCGATAGACTCACGAACCCCGACTGACAGTACTGCTAGTGCTATCCTTGACCAATAGCATTTCTAGTAATATATCCACATCCTGGTCGCGGTTTCGTCGAAGTTCCTTGAACGCGCATCTCTATTTGAGCATGTCAGCTGGACTAGGCTTCACTGAGACACAAGCGGTCAAAGAAGAAGCCCACGTTGACCGCTTGAAGTTGGAGTCAGACGCTAGCTCCAACTCTACAGGACCTGACGACAAGACCGAAGATCAACAAGAAGCGCAGCGTGAAGGAGATGTTCATGAGCTTGTGCGCAAATTTACAACACATTCAGAACAGCAAAATGTTGGCTCACCCTTTGCCGACGATGTGCACCACCGACTTGACCCCAAGAGCGACCAATTTCGTGCCAAAGATTGGGCCCGATCATTTTACGACTTGCGTTACAGTAGTGAAGAAACAATTCCCCGTGTTGCCGGCGTCGCATTCAGAGGCTTGAATGTTTGGGGCAAAGGCTCACCAACAGACTTCCAGTCGACTGTGGGGAATACCATCCTCAAATTGCCTGCTTTATTTGGAAGAGGAACACAGAAAATCGAGATATTACGGGATCTGGATGGACTGCTCCTTCCGGGAGAGCAATTATGTGTCCTCGGACCCCCTGGGTATGTTCAAGTATTGTCGAATACTGCTATATGATCTAACACTCAGTAGATCGGGATGTTCAACACTGTTGAAGACTATCGCCGGCGAGACCCATGGTTTCCAAGTCAGCCCCGACTCATACTTAAACTACCAGGGTGTGCCAGCAAAAGATATGAACTCAGTGTTCCGTGGAGAAGCAATTTACACCGCAGAGGTTGATGCGCACTTTCCTCAGTTGAGTGTGGGTGACACGTTGTACTTCGCTGCTCTAGCCCGAGCACCCCGTACCATACCCGGTGGTATCAGTCGCCAACGCTACGCTGAACATCTACGAGATGTGAGCATACATACTCGAGCTCAAATGAACTGATCACTGACTTCTAGTAGGTCGTCATGGCTATGTACGGTATCTCGCACACGTCAAACACACGCGTAGGCAATGATTATGTCCGTGGAGTTTCCGGGGGTGAGCGCAAGCGGGTAACGATTGCTGAGGCCTCTCTCAGCTTTGCACCTCTCCAGCTGTGGGACAACTCGACTCGTGGTTTAGACTCAGCGAATGCGGTGGAGTTCTGTAAGACGCTGAGGACTCAGTGTGACGTCTTTGGTGCAGCTTGCGTAATCGCCATCTATCAAGCTCCACAAGCCGCATACGAGGTTAGTTTCCAGTAAGATGCGACCAGAGAATGGTTTGGCTAACTCCTACAGGTTTTCGACAAAGTCACTGTACTGTACGAAGGCCGTCAGATCTACTTCGGACCGTCGAACGAGGCGCGCGTATATTTTGAACGTCTTGGCTTCGAATGCCCTGCCTCCCAGACCACGCCCGATTTCCTCACCTCAATGACATCCGCATCTGAGCGCCGCATCCGGAAGGGCTTCGAGAACACCACGCCCCGTACCTCTGACGACTTCGCTCGATGCTGGAAGGAGAGTCCCGAACGTCAACGGTTATTGAAAGAGATAGAAGAATACAACAACACCTATCCTCTCAAGGGTGAGCAGCATGAACGCTTTGCGCTTTCTAGGACAATGGAGAAATCCAAGAAGCAACGACAGAAGTCGCCATATACTCTTTCATATTGGAGGCAGATCCGTCTCTGCATGTGGAGAGATGTGCAGAGACTCAAAAATGACCCGAGCGTTCTTCTGACTATGCTCATCGTCAACTTCTTCGAGGCACTCATCATATCGAGTATCTTTTACAACCTACCTCAGTCGACCGCGTCCTTCTTCAAGCGTGGCGGAGTTTTGTTCATGGTCGTGCTGCTCAATGCTTTCGGATCGATGTTGGAGATTATGAATCTCTACGCAAAGCGTACTATCATTGAGAAACACAATCGCTATGCCCTGTATCATCCTTCGGCGGAAGCATTGTCGTCGATGATCGTGGACCTGCCGTACAAGATCACTAATAGTCTTTTGGTCAACACGACATTGTACTTCATGTCCAATTTACGTCGAGAGCCCGGCCCGTATTTTTACTTCCTGCTCGTTGGGTTTACCACAGGTCTCTCCATGAGCATGTTCTTCCGGCTGTTCGCTTCGATGACGAAAACCCTCGCCCAAGCGCTCGCTCCTAGCTCTCTCATCCTGATCATGCTCGTACTATACACCGGGTTTGCTATCCCGGTCCAGTATATGCAAGGATGGGCGGGCTGGTTCCGATGGATTAATCCGGTTGCGTACGGCTTCGAAAATGTCATGGTCAACGAGTTCCACAATCGAACATTTGCTTGTTCGTCCTTCGTACCCTCTGGACCATCGTATGAGAACGTTGCGCCTGAACAGCGAGCATGTGCTGTGCAAGGCTCCCAACCAGGTCTAGACTACGTCAGCGGTACTGCATACGTCGAGACTGCCTTCAAGTATAACTACAGTGAACGATGGTCCAACTATGGTATCATCATAGCCATTACAGTCATTCTCTTCCTTGCTCACTTGGTCATGAGCGAGTTGGTTGCTTCCGAGCGCTCTAAGGGCGAAGTGCTTGTGTTCCGACGTTCCAAGATGCAGAAGACGGCGAAGAAGAACGGTGCTGACGAGGAAGCCGGTGGAGCAACTGCCCACGAGGGTGAGAAGATCAGCCATAACACAGAACTGGAACCCACAATGCAAAAGCAGGTGTCTATCTTTCACTGGGAGAAGGTTACATACGAAGTCCAGATCAAGGGGGAAACCCGTACTATCCTGGATGGTGTAGACGGATACATCAGGCCGGGCACCCTGACAGCTCTCATGGTATGGTAACCGGACTGCTTCTTTGTACTCAAGCTAACAGTCCTGCAGGGTGTGTCAGGTGCAGGTAAGACTACACTCCTCGATGTTCTCGCAAGTCGAACGACCATGGGCGTCATTGGTGGTAACATGCTTGTGGACGGCCGTCAAAGAGACGAGTCTTTCCAACGACAGACCGGCTACTGCATGCAACAAGACATACATCTGGATACATCCACTGTACGAGAGGCTCTGGAGTTCTCTGCATTGCTCAGACAGCCACCGGAGTATGGACGCGAGGAGCGGCTCGCATATGTTGATCATGTCATTCGTCTTTTGGATATGGAAGAGTATGCAGATGCTGTCGTTGGTATTCCCGGATCTGGACTCAATGTTGAGCGTAATTATCCCCATGCTTCCGGCCATGACCCACGAGCTTCACTAACTTGATTCAGAACGTAAGCGCCTCACCATTGGCGTCGAGCTCGCCGCCCGTCCCAAGTTGCTACTCTTCCTCGACGAACCCACTTCTGGTCTCGACAGTCAGACTTCATGGTCCATCTGTGATTTGATGGAGAAGCTCACCCGAGACGGCCAGGCGATCCTCTGTACGGTTCATCAGCCTTCATCCCTTCTCTTTCAGCGCTTCAACCGACTCCTTCTACTCGCCAAAGGTGGAAGGACTGTATACTTTGGTGAGATCGGTCGCGACTCCAAGACCCTCCTCGATTACTTCACTCGCAACGGAGCGCCAGCATGCCCTGCCGGTACCAACCCTGCCGAGTATATGCTTGCAGCAATCGGTGCCGCACCCGGTGCGCGAACCGAGATTGATTGGCCTGCTGTCTGGAAGTCCAGCAAGGAGTACGCGAATGTTCAAACTGAACTAGCTAGTCTTAGGGAACTCGCCAACCGGCCCTCTGCTGTCATGGACTCAGCCGACGCCAGTCACCAGGCCTTTGCAGCCTCTTTCAAGGACCAACTACGCGCTGTAGCCATGCGGTGCGCACAACAATACTGGAGGACGCCGTCATACATCTACGCAAAGGCTATCTTGACTATTGGTTGTTCTATCCTGATCGGATTCTCGTTCTTTGACAGCAACAACACCATGCAGGGCCTGCAGAACCAGATGTTTGGCGTCTTCATCTTCTTATTCGTGGTCATCCAACTCATCTACCAGATCATGCCGATGTGGATTTCGCAACGGACTCTGTACGAAGCGCGGGAGCGACAGTCGAAGACCTATGCTTGGCAAGCATTCGTCCTCTCCAACATTTTCATCGAGTTGGCTTGGAATGCTTTCATGGCTGTCTTTTGCTTCCTCGTGTGGTACTATCCTGCCGGCTTGTACCGCAACGCAGAAGCTACGGATGCAGTTAACATTCGTGGTTTCCACGCTCTTCTCATTGTCGTGGCCGTCTTCGTCTTCGCAAGCACCCTCGCACATCTGCTCATTGCCGGCTCGCCTAACGAAGAGATTGCCGGTGCTATTGCCACTTTAATAACCATCATGCTATACGCCTTCTGTGGTATTCTCGCTGGACCCAACGATTTGCCTGGTTTCTGGATCTTCATGTATCGCGTCAATCCTTTTACCTACCTGGTGTCGAGCTTCATGTCGACCACACTAGGTCAAGCGCCCGCTTATTGCGCCGACTCTGAGTTCCAAACTTTCTTCCCACCACAGGGTCAAACTTGCGGCGAATACATGTCCAAGTATATTGACATGGCTGGTGGCTATCTTCGAGACGCGCAGGCGACCGGACAATGCGGGTTTTGTCAGATGGACTCCACGGACCAGTTTCTTACGCGTATTCACGCGGATTGGGACACGCGCTGGAGAGATTTTGGTCTACTATGGGTATACATCGCGTTCAACATGGCGGCGGCGATCTTCCTGTATTGGCTCTGTCGCGTCCCGAGGACGAAGAAGGGGAAGAAGAGCTCGTAAGCGGCAGACGCGCTCTGTCGTAGGGACGCGTCGACGAGTCGTGACGCGTTGATGTTGCGATCATTGCATTTACGGTGTTCTAGGGGTTTGGCGTGCAGTCATTGATCCCTTCTTTCTCTGCGATCGCCTTCCGGAGAAGGTAATTTCGTTACTTAATAGCGCGCCCGGCAGGGTCGGGACCACGGTTCCGTGATGTCACAAGCAACCACCTATTTCCGCTGACATCACGAAAGCCGTGGTCTCTTTGTTTTTACCCTTAGATCGAATAGTTTGGTTTAGGATAATACATAGAGGTTTCACTTCATGATGTTGGCTTTAGAAAGCTTAGTTGTCGTTACGCTGCACGCGAATCTGGGGTAACCGCATCCTTCACACCTGCCGCGCGCCATGTCAACCAATGGAAGGAGCAGCTCGGGACAACAACACCAACGTCAAGAACGAGATGGCGTCATACCGAAACGTGAGCCAGGATGGTCAATTGCGATCAAAAACTTCAGTCCACAATGGTATTTCCATCGTAGCAAGAAAAACCATGGCCGCCACTAATCATGAAGCAGGTTCACGGTATCCATGGACACGGGCGTCCTGTCAATAATAATGAATCTTCTTCCCTGGCAATTCCGCGGCCTAGGCATCCTCGCAACGATCATGTTCGTCTTCAACCTCGTCTTGTTCACGGTCTTTACCCTCATCTCGCTGCTACGCCTCGCGAAATTCCCACGCCACGTCAAAACGCAGACACTCTCCCACGAAGAAGAGCTTTCGTACCTTGGCGCACCAGCCATTGCGTACTTGACACTGGTAGCGCAGGTAACGCTCACATGTTCCACGGCTTGGGGGTATAACTGGACCGTCTTTGCCTACGTGTTGTGGTGGATTGGTCTCGTGTGGACAGTGACACTGTGTAGTTTCCAAGTCATTGTGCTTGCGAAGCGGGATATTACTGTTGATCGTCAGCTCAGTCCTACGATTCTGCTTCCGCTCATCTCTGTCATGACGCTTGGTACGACGGGCGGTTTGATTGCGAATTACTCGGTTGGACTGAGTGCTAGCATGGCCGTTCCTATCATCGTCACAGGATACATGTGCATCGGCTACGCCTTCTTCCTTGCGCTCCTCTACTATGCGTTCATTGCGCATAAACTCATCGCTGTGGGTCTGCCTCCACCGATGAAGATTCCCAGTCTTGTCATCACAGTGGGACCTGTTGGTCAATTCGCCACGGCAATCCAGACGCTGAGTTCGGCTGCGAGTACGAGAGGGATGTTTGGAAGTTACAACCAAGGGACATGGTTGCAATCCAGTGCAGCGAGCAGTGTGAGTGCAGCAGCGATATTAATCGCGTTGTTAGCATTGGGCTTCGGGTTCATGTGGATTACCATGTCATGGTATATCGTGGTTGAGGCTCTTGTCAAGAGGCAGCTGCCATTCAGCTTGGCGTGGTGGAGCCTTATCTTCCCAATGGGTGAGTCCTTCTCTCGACACTAATCGTACACTGAACTGACCAAGACTTCTTAGGTGTTTATACCACCGGCCTCCTCAACCTTTCGATCTCTCTCAATTCGACCGCTTTCCGTGGCTTCACTACCGCCCTCCTCATATTCATGTTCATAATCTATTTTGTCAACTGGGGTGGCACTTTGTACCGGATCTATACCAAGCAGGCGTTAGGGGTGCCTCAGCAACGAGAGGAAGAGGATGAACAAGCAAAAGAGAAGAAAGAAACAATGGATCGATATGTCGTAAGGAATGGAGGGAACACAGTGTAGCTGAGGTCGGGCTAGAATGATGTTAGCAATTTAATCTTAATGCTTTTCACATATGCCAAGCACTAAAAACTGCCACATGATAGTCAATGAATGTGGCCATGGAGTATTGCCAGAGCAAACATTGGAAGAATGGTAACTCTAGTAGTTCATACAGACAAGGTTTGACCGTTCGAACAGTATATTGTTCAGACCGCAAAACTGCGTAGCTACTATGACACTCACTCCAGCAACTCAACAGATTGTACCCTCATAGTAAATTGTTGATTTGTCCAACGCACTCATGTACTTGCTATCGCATGCGAAATACCCTCAAGGTGTTTCTTTGCGAGTTACACATACACCTTGATTTCAGCGATCCTCCCTAAACATCTACAACATACCATAAAGGCACCAAACCCCATTAACGCCAAGGCTAAACTTCAATATCTATTCCTAAACCGCTCTGGCCAGCAGCAATGCAACAAATCGCCCAGAAGAACCTTTTTACGGAATTCGCTCATTCGAACGCGCTCAAATCCAATGGCACACTGCTGCCTCGTCCAGCGCGGTATCTTTTTTGTCCGCCAGTGAATTCTCTCGGTCGTGGAAACTGTGATTCGTCTTGGAATCTCCACCTCAAATCGTGAATTGGCCTGACCCTACCCTTCTCCCTTCCACCTCCGGAATGAGAGCTCGTCGGACTCTTTATGCTTGATCCGCCGTTTGTCAAGGTGTACGAGCTCGGATCCATCATCGATCGCAGGGGTGTCTGAGACGCAGGCCGGCTGATTGGGGCACTGGGTGGGGGAGAAGGCGCGGGTGCACTGGGCGGCGCTGCTTGAGGTGGAGGAGGCGGTGGCGCAGCAGGCGATGTGCGACTGTAAGCATTGCGCGCGGCGGTTTCAGCCAGAGAGGGCGTGTGTCCGTTCGATGGAGGCGGTGGTGGTGGCGGGGCGGGCGGGGCGGATGGCGCGCGACTATCGTATTTGTACGGGTCGTATTCGTCGTCATCGTCCTGTGCGCTCGCTGGGGGAGGCACGGACGGCGGAGGAGGAGGAGGAGGGGGGGTGGATCTCGAAGGCGGTAATGGCGGTGGTGGAGGAACAGCAGTTGGTCTAGGGGATGTAGAAGTTGGTGGCAATGGTGGTGGTGCCTAAAAGCCGGCACACAAAGTCAGCATGTGTTTCATGCGCAGTTTGTACAGGAGCATTTCTTACCGGAGGAAGCGAAGGGGGAGCTGGGGATGCTCGAGCGGCAAGATTGGACGGTTTGCGAGATGAGGGAGGGGGAATAGGTGGTTTTTTCCCTAGAGGTAACGGAGGTTTGGGCTTGCCGCTTATACTTGAGGCTACCGAGTTGGGTCTTGAGTCTTGGCCCCGAAGAGCGTTGAGTTGCGGTCTGGTGTTCATAGCTGGTGGTGCGGGAGGTAATGATGAAGGTGGTTTGGGTGCTCCCGAGCCTCTATTCGACTCAGGATCTGAAGCATAGGACGGAGCTTCTGCGCCGGTCTTGACACCGCCTAAAAGATGCGAATACAAAGTCAGCGCATGTCTCACATGCAGTTGGTAAATGGGAGTTGTTACCTGACTTTCTTAGCTTCGGCATTCCTCCTGCGAACAGTCCCCCCAGCTGCGGGGGCGCAGCAGGCGCGTCTCCAGTATCACTGTTGCTTCTTGCTCGGTTCCCTGGCGGCGCAAGACCTGGGACTGCCGGTGCCTTGCCCATTGTCGGAATTGCAGGTGCGCCCATGGCGACTGGAGCGGGCCCGTCGCTCACTTTGCCAACGATAGGCGCGGATCGATCGTTGACCACTGTGACTTTCTTCAATCGTGCGCCCTTTGTAATGTCGCCCAGGAGTGCGCCCTGTGATATGTTAGTCATGACTGCGCGCAGTGCCAATCTCTCGCGAGGATGCGACATACTCGTCCTGCACCTGAAGCAGGTGCTTTAGCCCCAGGTGCCTTGCCAGGCGGCGGCGGCATACCTCTACCAGCTCCCCTTCCCATACCTGGGGCTAAATACACAAAGTCAATACGTGTCTTAGCAGTTCCAACAGGGACAACTTACGTGGAGGCGGCGGAGGCGGCGGTGGGGGCGGCATTTTGATCGTTTATCTCGCGCGTCGATGGTAGATTTTCAAGCTTTGCTGTTGACGTGTTGGAAGACTATATGCAGCTTTGCTGCCTGGTCGTGTGCGTAGGCATGCAAAGGGTGGAGTGGAGTGTCCAAGTAAGATGATCGATCCTCTTGGGCGTCGTCACTGCTTGGCACTCAATCCTCGCCGTTCCGCCTTACGTCAGCAACAGCTACGCGTGTCGATACTTCCTTCTTGCCGCTTCCATTACTTCTATATCATCTTTGCTTCCAAAGTGCAACCTCAGCGATTATTTGCTATTTCCGGCTAATTGCGATACCTTGGGGTTTGTAAGGTCTGGCCATTCCTACTATTCAAAATCTAACGGTTCAAAATTTCCTATTCTCTCTCTCGTTTTTTACGTATCCTCTCTTGCCAGGCCTTTTCAAGGTCTTATCTTTCCAATCTTATTTCCGTAGTTCACTTCTTGACTACTGTACTCCTCGCACTACCTAATCTCTCTAACGCTGTCTGCTTCATGGTGCCTATCCAATTCTGCACCCTCACACCCGCCATTCCATTGTTAGCTCCATGATGTGCACTCGCTATAATCCCAGAAACAGTTCCGGGTTATGTTGGCACCATTTTCGCCTTATCTGCTCTCATATGAGCACATGTGTGGAGTTGTCGAAACAGGGGTTCTATAATGCTAGCGCGATTGATGCCTTAAGCTTGCAGACCCTGCTTGGGCAGTGATAGTATAATAGTGATCGTAGTTGGGCAGATGTCATACGTTCTTTCCTAGATCATCGCAGTCGTACTGGGATAGCCTGTCAGTCGTCGGCTTGAAACGCGCTCAAAATTGCGTTGACAGCGTTGATTCGGATTGCGAGGCACGTGCAAAGGAGGGTAAGACCAGTCCAGGGAACTGGTAAATGCTCTCTCTCTTCCCATCGCTGAGGATGTACCGTTGTTTGCTGCTCATGCGCTTTAGCGAAAATCGCATGCAGCAAATCTTCATCCTCAGCCCTTTCTGCTCTGTACCACGACCAACATCTTAACCCCCCGAGGTCGTGATCAGTTAGGCCATTTGCTCAGTAATGCAAACTGACTGCAGGAAAAATTGCACCCTTTCCCCTCCTTTGCTCCTCGCGGAGCAGATGAGGTTTCCTCTTCGCTATTTGTCAGCTCCTAGCGGAGACGTCAGGCTCATCCCCGTTGCCATAGCTCTTAATTGAGTTGAGTGACAAACCCGCTGCCCTTCCTCCTTAGAAAGATCTGTCCCTGGCGAGTCTTCAAAGGTGTTTAGTCGTGGCTACTATAGTTGGGTCTCTTCATCTAAATTCTTTTGTCTCCATCGCAGTTGCCGAAGCAAAATGATCTTATAAAGGGAAATGGATCTTCGCCGCTCTGGGATCCAATACTGTCGGGCAATTGGGCTTTTGTGCAACCTTCAGACATATGCAGCAAGAGGCCCTTGTTTACAGCGCTGCTCCGGCATCTATCGGTTGACAGTGACTGCGACAAGCTCTTGATAGCACGTAAGCAAATGACCTGGCGCCCTATACAGAGAGAAGAATAAAGAGGAGCCAAGCCGGTAAGCCTTCTCGCGATCCACAATAGCATGGAACAACAAAACTTACAAAACTCCCAACTTTACAGACTTCCAAGTTGTCTATTTATGGACGTAACATTCCGGTAACTCTGTCGTGGTAAGCTGAAAAGAAGAGCTTGCGTCATTGCGCCAGCCCCTCCAAATCATCACACACGAAGTGGGGCAGGTGTGGCTGCGTCATTTTGCACAGCCGCTTATCCGTAATCGTAGACAGCTGACTGAACAGCAGGGAAATAGTTATTCGCAGGCTCTTACTGCGCTTCTCTACGATACCATCTTACTCCTAGTTCCACTCTTGTAATATCGCAACCATGGGAATTTCTTCACAGCACGTCCTGCTCATCGCTATTGCGATCCTCGTGCTACTACCCGCCGGCGCTGATGCCTTCGGCGCGGGCAACATCGCGAGTATCTCAAAGATTGAAGGCAAAAACTGGCGACATGGCGACATTGAAGACATGCTCGCGACGGTCGCGTGCTTGAAAGGACATAAGTGGAAGAGCAACATGATCAAGGTATATCCAAATGGCAACGTTACAGTGACTATCACGACTGACCTTCTGTGTAGCGTGTGTACTTTGGCAACTGGCTACGCGATTACTCACAGGTGATTCCAACAGACTGCGCGACGCAAGACTGCGCTGACTGATTCAGGCTGTTGATGTGGGCACGTTGGCCAAAGTTCAAGTACGTGTTACGGCAGGATTTTTTTCAATCGGTCAACAAGCTTACGATTAGTAGGGCGAAACCATTCGCGTCCTGGTCTGGGTCTTGTCTTTCATGTCTTTTGGCTATGCAACTGGAGAATTCGAGGTTACAGCCGAGAGACTAGGTGTTTATAGGCCCGAAGAGCATATCGGTAAGCGAACTTGAACCTCTCCTACTTGCTCGTACTAATGGTAGTTCAGACAATCCTGTAGGCAACCTCAGTTTACACTTACATGTGTATTTTGATACTAACATCCTCAAAGAAAGACTATGCCGATAATGAAGACGCAAGAAAATACGACCCTCGTCTTCGAGGACCAGTATCAGAAGCTGAGCTCGCGGTGGATCCAAACACCGGTATGAAAAACTACATCGCCAATGAACATGGCAACTGGGCTACATCAAGCGGATATGTAAAGTACTCATTTGCGCGCGCCATCCACTTCGGCCGCCTTTATACCCACGGATCATCAGGTCAACGCGGACGAGACGAGGATCTATCGGAAGCGCTTCGCTGTCTGGGTCAAGGACTGCACTGCCTCGAAGATTTTGGAGCGCATACTAACTATACCGAACTTGTGCTACGCGAGCTTGGTTATCACAACGTTTTCCCTCATGTGGGCGTACAAGCTGGCATTAACCTCCACGGAAAGCACACGTATCCGCTCGTAACTGGCACATTTGGAGGTGTTGATTTCTTCCATTCCGTGCTCGGAGAGGCCAATGACCACATCACTCAGACTGAGATCGATGAGGTGAACACTGCTCTCGTAGACGCAGTGTCTGGTGGACCTGGTGGACAGAGAAGCGGACCTGGAGGCCAGTCGAATGCTTGCGGGGGGTTGATCGACGTTCTTAGCAAAGTGCCTGGTACTGGGGATCTCATCAGACAAGCACAGGATCTGCAGGCCTCTTCAGACGCACAGGCTGCAGAAAACGCACGCGGAGGTTATGGCGACTACAGCTCTTCCAGAGCTGGACCTAACACCTTCGACGCACCACCTGGATCTATGGGCGGTAAGAACTGTTTCTGCACGAACTGCATATGAGACATGAACTAACTTGGTATGCGCACATTTTAGGACCCCCAGGACCGGACATCCCAGGAACGAACACGGATCCAGCCACCATTATCCCCAAGATTTATCCTATTCTGGGTAAGAATACTTTGAAACGTAAACCCAGAGACGCGAGCTAACCCGTCAAAGTATTCCGCGACAACGTTGTCCGCAGCATCTCAGCCATCATCTCCAAGATCCCTGGATTAGAGAAACTGATCGAGACCATTACCGAGCGCGTCACTCTATTCGTGCTCTCTCTGCTGGCACCTTTCATTCTACCAATCATCAAGACAGCATCATCACAGCTGAAGAGCGGTTCCTCTGCTGTCATTGACTCAGCAGCCAAACATCAGTTTGAGGTCTGGAACGACCCTTCGTCTACCAACCCAACCCACAGCATGTTATCCAAAGACCACTTCTCGAACGTCTTGAACCCGCCAGCCGGTCAAGTCGCTGTAGCGATCTTGCAGTACGTCGCACCTCGCGTGATCTACGCTTGGGACCATCCAGATGTTCCTGTCGACGAAGTTCTGAACGACTGCATGCGCGTTTTCCATCACCCAGCACTTCGAGACCCGCACTGCGAAGTACACAACGAAATGTTCAAGGTCGTTGAGAAATGGGCTCGCAACTACCACGGCAAAGATTTAAATCAGGTTCTGTCTTCGGAATCCGTCAAGGCCGGGCACAATCACAGTGGCGGGAACGATCACTCTACAGGCCACAGCCATGGGGCAGTGAATATGTCGAGCTTTGGAGGTCACAGCCATGGCAGTGGAGGTAATCACGGCGGTGGCTATCCTGGCCAACAACAGTCCAGCGGATCTAACGACCTTCTTGGTTCCTTGACCAGCAAACTTCCTGGTCCCCTTGGTGGTATGCTCGGCAGCCTTGGCGGCAGCTCTGGAAAAACTCGCGACATGGACGACAACTTCTCTGCTTCCTCTTCATCAGCACCAGCACCATACCAGCCGTCACCGTCACCGCAACCTAACCAGTGGGCTGGTTTCCAACCCTACCAGTCATCCTACTCGGGTGAAGCCTACCAACCGCCCGCCGAGTACAGCAACGCGGTACCTTCTGGCGGATACGGATGGGGTCAGGGCCAGTACTCGGGAGGCCAAGGTGTGGAGCCTAGCTATACTGTTCCTACAAATTACCAGCAGGGGTACGAGAATTACAACACCGGGCCAGGAGGCTTTGCTCAACCACCAGCTCAACAGCCACCTCCGGGATCTTATGGGGCGTATGGACAGGGCGGTGCATATAACCAAGGTCCGTCAGAGGGTAGTGCAAGGCAGTGGGGCAGCGGCGGGAACTCTGGATGGTAATCGCCAGTGCAGATATTCGAGTGTCGACTAGGGCCAGCGTGCTTAAAGTCCTTGGAGGTTCCATAGATTCATGAATAATGCAAACACGACCTTTCGATCTTGTCATTACGGCAAAGGCAATAGAGTAGAGATTCTTGTTTCAATGTTTCTTCCCCACATTCCTTCAGCAACCTCATATCTTTGAATTCCGACGTCTTGTAAATACATGCATCGAAGAATCGCTTTCCAAAACAGATTTCCCCAAGCCAGATGATATGCCAAATGAACGCCGGCCGTTATGCTAGCGTCTCGCGTTTCGTGAATCTTTGGGTAGTATTGATACAAGATAAAGGATGCAGTCGTTCCGTCACTTTTATGGCAGATTATGACTGTAACCCAATTTACTCGTTGATCTTAGCCAGGAGCCTAGACATCAAACGTTAGTCGCTATCCCATAATATGCAGTCGCATCCGCATGTATGATGTAAACGTACTCGTGGTCCCGGAAAAGGCTCAACTCCTCTTCGCCGACCTTGATGGGGCTTCCGCCGAATTGCGGGATCAAGACCTTGTCGCCAGGTTGTACGCTGGGGGTGACGCGCTTTCCATCTTTGTCGAGCATGCCGGGGCCGACGGCGAGGACCTTGGCCTCGTTGAGCTCCTTGACGGCAGTCTCGGGGAGGAAGATGCCGGTTGCGGTCTTGGCTTCGGGCTTGATGCGCTGGACGAGGATGCGGTCGAGGAGAGGCGCGATGCTGCGGATGGACTTGATTGCGGACTATGAGGAAGATTGGTCAGCTTGGAGTTGCGCGTGCATGTGCATGTGCAAAGCGTGTAGTGGGGTGAAAGTGGTCGTCATGCTCGATGCTCGTATGGACTGCATGAGAGACGCATTGGAGCACAGTTAGAACATACCATCTTGACGGATTACAGTAGCCGGATGTTACGAAGAAGCGAGAGAGACTAGAGTTGCGCTGGGTTGTAGAGTAGAAAGATGTCGATGAGAGCTAAACACGAAGATGAAGATGTTGTGCTTCGCCCTTCCAGAAAATTCCATGTCCGTGCACTTACCTCGGAACAAGCTGCGGAACGCTTCGCATCTCGCGCATTACCAGAACCAGTAACTTTTTGCTTCGGCTCTCACTCTCTTTTTATCGCCAGTGCATCAGCCTTGAGTGCTTCATATGTGGAGAAGCAATGCCCTCAGATGCGGGCATTGTTACCATACTGCGAGACGGAGCCATGTAGCTAGGATATTCCGACGAACAAATTCAATAACAAGCTTGCCAATTGGCAACGATGAGTTCATGCTGGCTATGCGAGACGGTGTCTTGAAGGAGGAACAGAGCCATCATGTAGCCAAAAAGCATCGTTCGGGCAAGTGCTACCTACGTCTCCTGCAAGCATAGTTGACTGACGGAACGCAGGTGGAATAGGTATTGCTATTAGTGGGGGTGTCGACTCAATGGCACTTGCCGCGCTGTATACACAGTCCCGAAGAAAGAACTCTGAGCTACCCAGTGCTCATGGATTCATCGTGGATCACCGAGTGAGACCCGAGAGCACCGAGGAAGCCGAATGGGTTGCATCGCAGTTACGCTTGAAGTGTGAGATACAGCACATGGTCTTTGCCATGTAACACTAACGCTGTCTAGTTGACATGGACTCCACCATTCTTCCGCTCACATGGCCCGACGGCTTCAACCTCAAGGACGTGAGGCGATTCGAAACCGAAGCGCGCACACTTCGCTACCAAGCACTAGGCCGAGCATGTAGAAGCATGAAGATCGCACGTCTCATGGTGGCGCATCATGCAGACGACCAAGCGGAGACGGTCATGATGAGGTTGGCGAATAACAGACTACGGTCGGGGCTCCAAGCAATGCAGCATCAAGAGTGGATACCAGAGTGCGAGGGCATGTATGGTGTGTACCACAGTGGTGAATACCAGAAGCCAAATCGCAAGCTAGACATACCATTCCCCGTCGAGCGTGGAGGCATACATATTTTCCGGCCACTGTTGACATTTGAGAAGACAAGACTTATCGCAACGTGTGAAGAGATGGGTGTGGCTTGGGCAGAGGACAAAACGAACCAGATAAGAACGCTTACATCCCGCAACGCTATACGGCATATCTACAAGAACTACAAACTCCCAGAGGCTCTGAGCGTCAAGTCGCTGGTTGATGTTTCGCAACATATGCAAGAGCGCATTAAGCGACACAAAGCCCTCGCCAACGAACTCTTCGACAAGTGCCTGATAAAGCTCGACATACAGACAGGCTGCCTTGTGGTCCGATTCCCTCCTTTTTCCGACCTACTGCCCCAGCGAGGCTATGCCGAAGCCGACAAGACCGATAAGACCTACGCGAAGAACACAGCATATTGCCTACTAGAACGTGTGGCAGAATTGGTCACGCCCAGCTCCAAGACGCCTCTGGGGCCACTCGCTGCAACCGTTCATCGCATCTATCCCGAACTTGAGGACTTGGAGGAAGACGAGCAGATTGGGCACTGGAATGGGGTGCGAAAGAAGAACTACTGCGTCTACAATCTGTGGTGGCGTTTTTGGGACCAAACTTCGCCATTTGACAAGCATGAGCACCAAGAAGCAGGCATCGATTCATCTCTACCTCATCCACGAGAATGGCTGCTCACGCGGCAACCCCTCGATGCACACGAGATATCAGATACTCAGAATCAGATCGTCTATCCCCCGCGGATGCCGCCAAGAGAAGAGAGAAGAAGACTGGTCGATGGCCGTTACTGGATCCAACTGAATAACCGTCTTACATACGACACACTGATCATGCGCATCTTCTCGAAAGACGACATGCGCCACTTACCAACTTCTCAGCAAAACAAAACTCAGATGCTGGAGCCTGACGATGTTCGTCCCTACCGCTACATTATGGCCGCCTTTGATCTACTGAAACCAGCCGACCTACGTTTTACCCTGCCTGCCGTTTTCCGAAAAGACGTTCGAACAGGTAAGGAAACTCTAGTAGGGTTTCCAACGCTCGACGTGAGCGTCAACTGCATGGGAGCACCAGATTTCTGCTCGTGGAGCGTGCGCTACAAAAAGATCAACTTTGGGTCACGGTCGGCGGCTGATATCATTGTTCCGGGTAGCTCCAGAAAGGACATCGTTGCTCACGAGATGAGGGGGAGGATGGTTCTTGAAGGTGTGGAAAAGGCACGGGAGGCAAAGATACGGAAGACAAAGAGGAAGCAGTACCATGAGAAAGTCCACAGCGACACCCACACAAGACACAAGCGCATGGTACGTTTTGACGGAAGAGACAGCAGGAGAAGAGAGTGGAAAGCAGCTGCCGATGATGTGCAGAGAAGTATGCAAGCAGAAACAGATTCACTAAGCTTTCCAAAGGAGTAAAGTAAAAGGAAGGATATGTACCGTAGATGTAGCAATTGATACCCTATGCAACTGGATACAGAGTATCTTGGCTAGATTTTCCAAGTGCGGCGAGGTGTAAGAATTGTCCCGCAAGGCTAAAGCGATGACGTCGTGGGGATAGACACGTAAAGTGCATCCAGCCAAATGGGGAAGGCAGATATCGTGGGTGCCGTCTCCACCAACGCGCATCGCGCTCCTTCCCCGCCCTGCAGCGGCAGTCGAGCGCCATTGCTCTGAGCTTATGAGCTTATTTTGACTGCTATTACTTTGCAGACCGCCTGTGGTGTTGGTGTTGGCTTTGTCATCGATTTTACACGGTGCATGGTTGGCTTATCTCGACTGGTAGGCGTGTTGCATCGATCGTGCAGACAAAAGACGGCCCCATGTTTCCTTGACTCAACAAAGAAGTGTACCCCAGCAGGGCGGGGAAGATTACCAGACTAGGGTAATGGAGTCGTCTTGATGTAGTGCTGCAGATACTTACACCGTACCTGACACGTGGTGCGAAATGTGGAAGAAAACCACAACCTCAACAAGTGTTGTATGGCTTGCTCGTGGTAAAAGTAGTCCTATACGCTATTGACGTTGACTCGTGCGGTGGATCCCGGCCGGGAGTCTTCGAGTAGCCACAAGCTCCGCGCTCCAGAGAGAAGCGAGAGTAGTCAGGGACAGAAATCCACATTATTTTCGATCCTCAAAACCCTTTGCCATGTCTCGATTGATTGTTCAACTGGACTATCCACGTGTCAAAGCCATAGAGATGGTGGCTTGTAAGATATTAATTAATGTGTGGAGTCTGCTCATGGCAAACTTCTCAATGGCATTTAGCGTTTCAAAGTCATGAAACAGAGCGCGACATGACTTGGTGCACAAGGTCGCTCACGCCAGGCACAACGCCGCACGGAAGTGGTCAGCCTCTTGTCGCCAAATTTGCGCCCGGGTATCTGTGGCGGTGAGTGAGACGCGGATTGGATACGGTCATAATTATTGCCAGGGAGATCGTCTGCGGAGTTTTATCGAGTGCTCTGTGCGTACCGTGGTGTTGGGCAACAACCGCTGATGACAGGATGCAGATCTCAGTGGAATTTCTTTTGCGCGTCTCAGGTTTGACAGCTGTCGACATGTGTGGAGAGTTGCTGTTTAGTTGCAAGATGGGCGACTGTCTTGATACGAGAGATATGTAACAGGCGGCTTTTGGGTGTGGGAGGCTAGTCTATGGTGCTGCCCGTGGTTGATGCCCCTTTCACGTGAGTGGGAATATTGAGCCGGCATTGCCCTAGCACACTGGCCAGGTGTTTTCGGCTGATCTGAGATGAAAGGCGACAATTCTGAAGAGTCAGTCCAACTTTAGCAATTTTCACTTCACCCGCTGTTGTGGAAGGCGGTGTCTGCAATCTCGATAACGACGATCAATGCTGTGATAGTTTGTGCAAAGTGGTAGAGGGTACCTAGGTACTGTGTTGACGCCATCGAAATGCCAGCCTCGTGAATATTTCGGATCAAAGAAAAGCAAGTTAAGCGTGCGTGAACGCCAGGAAGACCAAGGATGGCGGCACGTAGTCTCTTCGGCTGCATTCGCCAGTGTGAAGGTTAGCAATTTGGGCGCCAGGGTCTTGACGCCTTTTTGTAAACGGGGATCACGCTTGGAGGGTGGTGGCGTGGCGCGATTCGTTACGTGCAGGCCGCTAGAAGTGTCTAGCCTTGGATACTCAGACGTGCTTGGCGTGGCGCGAAAGGTCGAGTTGTGCAGAGTTCGCGATGGCGCGACTAAAGACGGCTGTGGTGTAGCACAGAGTTGGAGAAGTGGTGACAAAGGTGTTCACAGCAGCCGTTGAGCCGCCCTTTTTATTTTGTGTCGAGTGAGGCTCGAGAAAGGCTCGGGTGATGATGTGCATGTTGTGGGTTGGCTGCAGAATAGGGATGCCGATCACGGTTATACTCATCATGGCAGATGATGCGAAAGCTGGATGTACAGTGTAGTGATGCTGACGGTTGATCGATGACAAAGGCCTGGCTGGAGACGAGATGCCCTAACAGATAGCTACATGTTTACCACGACGGCGCCGATTAATCCTGTCCCGTCGCCGCCTAACCGTGTCTCGTGAGCGATCAAAGATAGCAGAGTCTCAGGCTCTTTCCTAGGGTTGGCGATCTCTTCAGCAAGTGGTGAAGAGGGGCAGACAGATCATGCGACCACGTTCCAAGGGTCTGTTGACCACGAGCTTATCAGACGCGTGGGCGCCAACCATAACAATCCGCCATGTGCCGATGAGCGACACAATCCAGCTTCTGCTCACCGTGGCCTTGTTCCTGAACGACGGGTTGATGCTGGATGCACAGTCGCTGTTTCAGAGCTGCTCAGTGCATAACGTTGGTGAATGGTGCTATTCGGGCGGGCTAGGTGCAGGCGGGTCCGTCTAAGTGGACGTGCAGCCGCGAAAGCCAATTTCGTTGCTAACATCCCTGCCTGGCGAACCCCTACCTAGCAACAGCCCTCACCTTAAAGTTCTCCCATTCCTTGATCGTCTGAGATTTTCTATCCTTCTTTCCTCCTCACCGCCCTTCACATCCTTAACAAGGTCGTGCCTGCTTGTCTGCCGCTGCACTTTGCGAGCGTAGAACTTTCCCTTTCCGTACATCTTGTAATACCCCAAACATTGAGCTTGCCTCGACAACACTCCTCTTTTCGAACCCACTTACCCCCCATACAAACACTTCCGCTCCCAAAACAAACAGCAATACACAACATGTCTGCCCCCGTCGACGCCCCCAAGCCGGTTGAGGTCCCCGAGGTTGGCACTGCTGGCACCGTTGAGCCTGCGCCAGCACCAGTTGTCGCTACCGAGCCTGTTGTCGCAGCGCCAGTAGTAGAGGAGGCGCCAAAGACGGAGGAGGTGCCCAAGACTGAGGGCGAAGCTGCGGCCGCAGCGCCAGTTGAGGAGGTCAAGGAGGAGAAGGTGGTTGAACCCATCTACAGCGGTGCGCTTGGCTACAAGGCACCCGGTCTGAAGAAGTGAGTCTTGGAGCATGTCACCGCCGACGATGGTTTATTGACAAACTTGCAGCGCTTTCCGCTTCGCCAAGAAGTACTTCTGGTTCGGCGAGGAGCCAGTTGCCGCTGACAACCTGAGGGAGTACCTCCGTGGCGAGAAGCCCGAGGTTGCCCACCCCGTTGCCGCGTGGTCCAGCCAGACCGGAAAGGGTCTTCTTTTCTTCGTTAAGCACGCTGACCAGAAGGAGCACCCAGCCGGTGTGCTCAACTTGGTAGGACACAATCTCTTCCCGACAGGAAGCCACAACTAACATGCATCAGGCCTATGCCACTGACCTCGCCAAGGACGGCGCTGTCGCTTTCGCGTTCAAGATCTCTGGCCACAAGCACACCTTCGAGGCCACCACCGCTGCCGAGCGCGATGGATGGTTCGTCGCCGTTGAGAAGGCCATCACCGAGGCCAAGGCCTCCAAGGACACGATCGAGTCGAGCGAGGGCTACAAGGAGAACAAGGAGAAGATTGGTAAGTTTACACTTTGTCCAGGTCGCGTCGCGTCGCGATGGCACTAGTGGACGATCTGGCCGTGTTGCTGCAGTAGGCTAACATCCCGCAGGCAAGCCCACCGCGCTAGCGGGAGCTACATCCTCCGCCCCCAAGAAGAGCATGGACGCTACCCCCAAGCTCGCCGAGGGTGAGACCGCCGCCGCTGGCGAGCCCGTCGCTGCTCGTGCTGGATCTTCCTCCAGCTCCTCTTCCGACGAGGAGAAGCGCAAGAAGGCTGCTAAGAGCAAGTCTCGCTCTGTCTCCCGTGGCAAGCGCGCCAGCCTCTTCGGCGGCCTGCTCGGAAAGAAGGACAAGGAGCCCAAGGAGGAGACCGACGCCGTCAAGACCGAGCCTGAGGTCAAGACTGAGGAGCCTGCTGCTGTTCCTGCCGTCGTTCCCCACCTTGACGAGATTCCTGCCACCACTCCCGTCAACGCCAACGATGTTACTCACCCCGCTGAGACCACAACCGAGCCCACTGCTGCCGTTGTTGCTGCCCCTACTGAGGAGGCTGTCAAGGTTGACGAGGCTGCTGCTCCCGTAACCCAGGAGAAGCCCAAGCCCCAGAAGCGCGGCTCCATCTTCGGATCTTTCGTCGAGAAGCTCAAGTCTCCTACCACCGAGAAGAAGGAGCACGAGGCTGGTCTCGCCGCCACTCCCGTCAAGGAGAACGAGACCATTCCCGAGGCCTCCAAGCCTCTCGAGGAGGCCCAGGTCGCCGCACCCGTCGTTCCTGAGACCACCACCACTGCCACTGAGCCAGTGGTCAAGCCTGAGGAGGTCAAGGCTGTCTCCACTCCTTCCAAGGAGAAGGACCACTTCAAGTTCGGAAAGTTCTTTGGCTCCAAGGACCGTGCCAAGTCGCCAGCTCCCGAGCCCAAGGTCGACGCTGCCGCTCCTCAGATTGCGGACACCACCGCTGATCCCGTTCAGGCTGTCGAGCCTGTCCCTGTCGCTGAGACCAAGGTCGAGGCTACCCCAGAGACTGAGGCTCCCAAGCAAGACAAGCGCAAGTCGTTCTTCGGCAACCTCGGACGCTCCCTGTCCAAGGCCACCGGTAACAAGGCGCCCAAGGACAAGAAGGAGGCTGTCAGCCCCGCTCCCGTCACCGAGGAGGAGACCGCTGCTCCCGTCGTTGAGGAGAAGAAGGAGGAGACCGCTACCCCGGTTGTTGGTGATGTTCCCGCTGAGGCCAGCGTGGCCGACGCTTCGAAAAGCGCCAACCCGACTGTCGCTACAACTGCGTAAGGTGTGGTGGGAAGATGTCAGCCTTTGCAACGACAGCCACGACGGAATGACGGAAAAGCAAAGACAACGTAAATCCCTTCTTTGACCGCCCGACCAACTCTGATACCCCCAAAAATTTGCTTTGGATCTCGTACATGGATTCAGGCGTGTTCATTTGGATCAAGTTTCTTCACATATCCCCTCTCATATTCGATT